AAGTAACGCCACAAGACATTATTAATTTATGGCACGTAGAATAAATAATACTCCATAATAATAATTGTAAGTCTGAATTGAAATTACGAATCTCATGCATACAATATATATAAATTTTATGAATTAATTATCAAGAAAAATAATGGAACACACACATGACAACCAAAAATAATACATATTTATTGTATATATGTTTCAAATTATAAACTCTTATATAATATAATGTAAATCTACGATTTAAAGGAAAAATAAAACAGAACATAACACAAGACGATGAGAATGACAACAACAAAAAAAAACATAATACTAAAGTATATAGCGAGGTACATAGCTCGAGTAATTATAGGTACACACTATTTATAGATTTTTCAAAATTATGAACCACATGAGAATTTTTCTGGGGATTATTATGAAAATTTGCAGGAAAATCCCGAGAAAAATCCGGATGTAGTTCATATTTTTTTTAGTGTACTTAAGTTTATTGGAGTTTTCTTTGGAGTCTAATTTGTGTATTAAATCGTTGAATAAACTCCTCAACTCTTTTATTTAATTCCTCTACTGACATATCTAAAAATTCATCATTAATTTCTTCATCTCCATTTACTTGTAAATCATTATATCTCTCAGATTTTGACCTTTGAATCCTTTTCAATTTTTTCTCATTTTTATCCACCGGCATCATTGCTTTTAATTCTGAATTAATCCGATAGAATTTCACTTCACCCTTCTTCTCCTTTTTACTATCAGTAATGTTGATTATTTGTTCTTTGTCTTCGTCTCTTTGTTTGTTGTTTTCGATTAGAATTACGTCTTTTATATGTTCTTCTTCGTGAGGAATAATAATCTCCTTTTTTTTTATCGTATACGAAGAATAATTGAATGATGGAGTACTAGTAATAGTACTTTTTTCTTGACAAATTTTCATGTAATATTCTTGATCAATTGACGATGAATAAGAGAAATTAGAGCCAAAATTAAAATCAATAGTAATGATGAGAATAAGGGTGTTGGAAATAAAGAACCAAAAGTTTGTGGTGTTAATAAGAGTATATGGGGAGAGATTGAACATATAAAAGATGGAAATATACATGCAAATTGAAAAAACAAAGGCCCAAAAAGATAACCTTGAATTTCTTTTTTGAGGAATATTATAATTATAATTATGATTCCTCAATTTGCTAAGTTTTATAGGATTTTCTAATAAATTTGGTTGAGGCATGGCCATATTTTTTGAGTTTGGTGGAGGGGACTTATTAGATTTTGTTCAAAGTGAAGAGGGAATTTATAGTGAAAATTATATTCAAAGAGAGAAAGGGACTGGTAAATCATGATTAATCTAGATACTACTATTTCAAGATTGATAATAATTGAGATACTATATTATATATTATGGTTACGTATAAACCCTTCATAATTAAAAAGAATTCCATTAAGATCCTGCTGAAATATATTTCCGATAATATATACGGTGAAATCTTATTAATTGGCTTTGGGAGGGGAGTGTATGCAAAGACCTTGCCATATTATCTTGTAGACGTAAAGAGGTTATTTCCGAATATACATGATACTCCTCCTCTCTCAATTAATATAGTGTATTTTTATTTTTAATCAGTTACTAAAAGAATAAAATATTTTTATATATAGTAAAAATTTAATTTTAAATTTTACTTTAAATGAAATAATATAGTAACACAAACATCTATGCTAGACCACTATTCTCGAAAAAACATTCTTTCTTTTTTAAACTCAATACTAAATCAAACTATATCACATAATTGATACGAAAGAAATATATGTACTATTCTTTCTATCATTTCTTTAGTTATATATATCAATCATCTACTTAATTCAACAAGTCAATCAATTTTCTTGTGAGATTGGTTCGATGATTTCATTAATTATATTGTATGTACTATGTAACGCCATAACTTTTTTAGAAAATAGTTTGGTTTGTGTATAACTTTTTTTTTAAAATAATAACAATTAAATATTAATAATAATGTCAATAAATTAAAGGATATTTTGATCGAATTTTTGAGAACTAAGCATTAATAATGATGTGCGAAATAATAATTACATGAATCAGGTAATATGAAATCATTTTCATCACGAAGAATATAATTTTCCCGAAAGAATTTTAATTAGACATCTCTTTAATTACTTATTTTTTTGCATACTTTCATTCTATTCACAAAAAAATATTGCACGCATGTACTAATTAATAAGGGGGGAAAAATCTATAAAAGGTAAAATAACATCTTTGGTAAAACTTTATCGAGTTAAAATCTATTCTTGTAAAGATATAATTATAGGTGTCATAGGTAGAGCTAATTAAAACCTTAAAATTGATGAAAGTCATTTGAGTTTGAAATCTTAAATATCTTATGTTACTAAATTTCAATTGGATGAACAATTGCATTTATGTTACGACTATCCAATCAAACTCATGACAACTGTCCTAGGAGAATAAGTAATAATACAAATTTAATGTATTAATATTGAATTTATAGTGATTTGCACGTAGCTCTAATAAATTCAAATGATTAGTTGGAAGAACAATATTATAGATTATAGCTTGAGTTTAGACAATATTTTGAAGAAAAATTTATTTATTTCCTCTTTGTTTAGTAAAAATGAGCAAATAATTAGGAGATATAGTCAAATTACTGTGTTATTTATCTCAGATAGTTTTGATTGTTATAATGAAATATTATTATAGATAACATAATTGATATTCATCGATTCTTCTTTAATCGAATTAATGTTTTCTCACAAGTCACAACCTAGGGGGTAGGGACCCCCCACCCCATTAGAAGAAAGATGTTCATGCAAAAGAGAGAAAATGACTATACACTAATACACACATATCATTGAGTTTACCACACAAATTAATTAATTAAAACACCTCATACATATCAACCAATATATTTTTTTTAAAAAAAAATAATTATATTAAAAATATTATATTGCAAAAACTATCTCACAAAACCAAATCAATGCATGGCACTCTTCACTCTATATTCCATGCTTTGCTTTGAAAAAAATAATATACTTTATCAATTTCAAGTTATATGTTTTTTGCTTTCCATTTTAATTCATTTCATAAAAATAAATTACTATTTTTTTTAGCAATTCTTTAATATTCAGTTTCAACTATTCATAGTATCATAACATTTTGATATCTCTAATCATAACATTTAAAAAATTTCTATACTTTCTTAAAATTCTGTAACAAATTAATATAAGACAAACAAATTAAAACAGATAGAACTTCTTTATATTTGTTTGATTAAATAATTGTTTGATTAAATAATGATTGCAATTTGATATGATAGATGGATGTTGTTTTCACAAATGATATCATAAATCCAAAACCTTGTAAGTAATTCATCTCAAATTTGTGCATATCATTGTGTTTGTGGACCCTTTTCCTTTTTTTGCCCCAAACATTGCACTAATTTTTTGACTCATTGCCTTACAAATGTACGCTTATAACACCCTTCATGGCCCCAATTAGCAGCTAAATTTACCCTTACGTGGCAGCCAAGTAATGCCACGTATTTACTTGTGAAAAACATGTCAATTATATAATGTTGAAAATTCTAGGTTTTGATTAATATTGTGATGATCGATTAGTATGGATGATGATATGATCGATTTCATTATCGTTTGATTTTTTAATAAACGTAGAAATAGTTTAAACGATAGATATTTGAGACGGGAAGATGTGAAAATGAGGGGATCGGAGAGAGTTATTAGTATCATTTGTCCACTTGTTATTTGTTCTATTGAATTATTTAATTTTTACGTTCTTGCGTGGTCAGATTAATCAGTAATTATTTAGTTGTTAATCATGATTCGGCTAAATAGGTTAGTAAGATAATTAAATTGAATAATAATTTAATAGGATAATCCACAGAAATAAACACAAACAATTTGGAGTTTAGTAAAAGATGATTACCGGTGTGAAACATATCACAACAACATAGGCACGAGTTATGGCGCATTGAAGTAGGATATTTTTGGTGTTTTATTTTTCGAAAGTCAATTTGATGAATTTTTAAAATTAAAGTATATTATATTAGTTCGATATTTTAAGGGATAATGCACAAGTACCCCCTCAACCTATGCCTGAAATCTCAGAGACACACTTATATTATACTAAGGTCCTATTACCCCCTGAACTTATTTTATAAGTAATTTTCTACCCCTTTTTAGCTTACGTGGCACTAGTTTGAAAAAAAAGTCAACCAGGGGTAATAAGACCTTAGTATAGTATAAGTGTGTCTCTGAGACTTCGGGCATAGATTGAGGGGATACTTGGACATTATCCCATATTTTAAACAAAATTTAGATATTAAAAAATTCTATGAAAAGTACTACAAATTTTGTATATTGATATGATTAAAAAAATACATTATAAAATATTACTCAGAATTCTTATAATTTGACTCTGAGAAAATCTATAACAATTAAAAATGTAGGAAAAAAAATATACGCTTTAGCATAAAAAATTAAAAACTTCCTAGATTTGCAAAAGCTAGAAATTTCTCCTATTACATAATTGTAAATAATGTCTTGGTTTATTTTTTACATAATTTCCTTTTATCAAAAAAAAAAATCTTTTCAAGTAATTCTTTAATTTTAACTTTTCATATTCTTTAATTTCAAATTTTCATATAATAACATGTTTTAACTTCTAAGACCTAAGTATGTAGTAATTGATATATTAATATGATCTACATCATATTATTGTTGTATCATAACATGTACAAATATTAATGTCATAAATAATTTATTATCATCTATGAATAAATATTATTATTACATCGGGTTATCAACTACCAAGTCACGACGAATATATTTCTTATATGATCTCGTAGATAAAAATTATATAAAAAATAAATGCGTATATCAAAAAACCAAAATATATAATAATTATAAATAAATAACAAAAAGTGTCACGTAAAACGGACGAAGGCGTAACGTAACACAATAAGGTGAAAAAGAGAAAAAGGCCCATTCTGGATCTGGACCTAAGAAAATACTTTGCGTGAGTTGCTCTTACTGGTCAACTCTTCTTCTTCAAATCTCAAATCTCAAATCTGAAATATCAGAGAGGGATTGAGGGGTCACAGAGCAATGGGGGCATTAACAACGGCGCTGATAGCAATTGGAGGCGTAGTTCTCGGCTGGATCACCATCGAGATGGCTTGCAAGCCTTGTCTTGAAAAAGGTCGAGAAGCCATTGATCAAAATCTCAACCCAGACTATGACCCAGATGATCAACACAGTATCCGGGAACCTCTAACTGCAAACGCAACTCAAGACACCGATCCGGATTCCGCTTCTTCAACTGCCGTTAAAATTGTCTGATCATATCCTATTCTCCTCCCTATTTTGCTTGATTGCAATTGCCCCCCTTACAATTCTTTTTTTTTTTTTTTTAAAGTTTGGAGTCTTAAGAGGGGTAATCGAAATATAAATGCTTTTCTGTTTTTGGGTGTTCTTTTTTTTCCCCTATTGTAATATGTTTGTTGAGAAATTCGTATATTAGCTTTGAAGTTGTTTGTTTCTTCAGATGTGATGTTTTTGAATGAATCACAAGTTCTAATTTGTTACCGTTTATTGATTAAATTCGAATCGTGCGCGCACGCTAATTACTTGGTGATAGAAACATGCAAGAAAACAATTTTGCCATAATGCACATTGTATTGAAAGGATGCACTTGTTCATGTTTTTTTTCTTCGAAAGAGTAGATATATCTATGTATGAAATAAATGTTAACTTTACAGTTGAATCTGAGAATGGAAGTCATATCTCGAGTCATTTACAATGAAAATTTTATGGCATGAACATTTCTAGGCAAGATAGTTGTAAACTTGAGGATTGTTCTTGTCTCGTTCCAGATACTCCCTTTCTATGAGGCTTTCAATCCTTTTCTTCAAGTCAGCTGGTTTCACAGGGAATTTAAGCTGCAGCACAAAATAGGTAACAGAGTCAGGGGAGTGCAGTTTGTTCCCACAAGATTTGCTCAGTTATGAAAATCACAAATTTGACACATCAACTAGCAGAGCCTAAACCGAGTTGGAACTCCTATCTTAATCAAATAGTCTAGAATTTCGAATTATCATCAACCACTGAGGCCAATTGGACAACAATTCTACATCTTCTCTTTGTCCAATCTTTAGTGCTGGTATACAAAAGCCAGCTACAATCAATTGGATCCAGAGTTTATGATTTCAACATTTATAACAAATGGAACAAAATGGAGGGTTAAATAGCACAACCTGATAACACTTGCATGATTCCAAATGTACTTAAATTCTTTGAAAGCTTTATTGAAGTTTGTCAAGAAGGAACTTGAGACAGTACTATTTGTACTGGTACTAAATGCAATCACCTATTTCGATTGGAAGGCAAGACAACCATATGGACAACTGATAGGTTTTAATTAGAAGTCCAGTGTGGGGTTCATGCATAGAGCTTGAACCATATCCATTTCCCCAAAACAAGATTAAAAACTATCTGTGATACATTAAGTTAAGAAATAACTTCACCTGCTGAAAGAGTTCAGTTATCAAAAGGGTATGACTCAGCACTTTTCTGGTCTTCATTATCCTAACGATAGCAGCATCAACCTGCCGAAGTGAAGACAGAAGACTAGATTATGTCAACAGCAAAGAAGAGGATTAGTCTGAAATTTTCCCTTGGTATCGAGAACCTATATGTTCAAAGAAAATATCATTTCCTAGAGTGATTTCAGCCAAAGACCAGGCAAGGAATCTGATTTTTTTTTTTAATCTGACCATCTATGGTCTTGTAGGAAACAGAAATGTTGATTACCAACAGGAAATTAGAGCAAGTTATGACAAAGTTGTGAAGCACTCCAATTAACTTTTCACCAGGTAAAACAGGTTACAGAAAGTTCAACCGAACATACAAGAGTAAAGGGGAGGAAATAGGAAAGCAAACCTGGTATTGCCGGTCCTGGAATACTCTTTCTGTGGTGTTTGTGTTCTCCTCAACTGTTTCCTTCATCTGAATGGCATTTACCTGTAGACATGGATAAAGGATTACCATTTATATGTCTATGCAATATAGCAATCCAATAATCCCATTAGACCAATCAAACTTTTAACTTAAGAAACATGCCAGAATCATTTGAAACAACCTCACATTGTTCTTCTCTTTCTTAGAAATTGAAGCATTAATATTCTCAAAGTACCTTTATCCGATAGAGTGGAGTAGTAAATTGATCATTGAACACAAAGGTATCGTTGTCTTCCACATCTCTTCCTTTTGGAATCTGTAAAACAACTAATTTTTTTCAGCAGCTACAGGTTGAAACCAGAACGACATTCATGATAAGAGATACATTTTCAATAATTTATTGGGTATGTTGTTGTTGTTGTTGTATATTCTCAATATTTCAAAATGAGTAATCATATTATTCTTCTTCTAAAAAATTCAACGAAATTATCTACTAAGAAACACTCAAATTATATTGCTGTATTGTCTATTGTAATACCTTTCACGTAGTTTCTATTCACTATGTCCTATTTCATGACGACTTATTTGAATATAGCTTCTTTTGTTTATGGGTAGTGTCTGGGCCAGCTTGCATGTACCTCGATTAATTGCACTGGTTACTTGCTACCTCCTAAAATTATCATTTTATAGTACTTCAGTGAACTTTCTGATTGTGACAGTTAATTTTTCAAAATGTATCAATGTCGAATTCAAGTAAAATAATAGCCTGTTTGAATCTCCCGGTCCAAACCATGTTATTCACTTTGGAATGGAGTAACTATCTTAGTTTTGTATCCAATGCATCAATTAATCGAAGTTCAATCAATCTTCAATAGCTGGGAAATGGGCCTTCCAAAACTAAATACGTCTTATCAATTTGGGTGATGAAGTAGGTAACAATCTCTACCTAGTAATGACCACCCACCTTCTGGAGAACACGAACTTTACCACATGCAAGAGACTGTAAAGTTCTCCTGAGCTCTTTATCCTCAATTCGAGTTGCTTCCATCATATCTAGAAAGCTAAGCTTTTCCGCATCATTAAAAAGCATTAAAACAACAGCCTGCAGAAAGAACAGATAGGCAAAAGAACAGCAGATGATTTAGACATCTGTTGCATATGTGATAGAGTTGGCTAGGAGGATAAGTATCTCTGGTACATTCAGTGAAAGAGCAAACAAACCTGAAACAGAGACACTGCCAGCTCTTTTTTACCCTTGGGAAACTCTGCTTTTAGAACACAATGTCCCAAAGAATTTTGCCACATCAACCGCCTACCGCTGTATTTGTTCAAGTAGAATTCCTTGAAAATATCCTGCAGTACAGATCCAAGTATAAGGGCATGTGTAGTTTACACAAACATAACTCAAGGCGCAAAGATGACCTAAATTGAAAGTAAAAATTGGCGCAAAACCTGATAGATATTGAGTTCATGGGGAAGCCGAACATCCATGGGCGGATAAGTTGGCCAGTACCTGCATGTCAGCCAGAATAAATGAGTTTTAAATTCAATCAAAATGCAAAACAAAGAAAGAGAAAAGTTTTTCAACTTGGAAAGTAATGGAATGGTTAGTGGGATAAGCAACTTACCCTGTGGTTAATACATGAACACTCATCTCAATTCCTGTTGGGAGTTTTTTCCTGGCTTGAGAAGATTGCTTAAAGGATTCATTTATCTCTTTTGACAATTCAATATCCTGGATAATGGTTTCGAAGATAAAAACAACAAAGTCACTGATTAAAAACAAGCATGCCACATGAAATCTAGAAAAATACCAAATTTATTCTCCAATATCAAAGGACACTTCAGACCTCTAGCATAGGCATAACAAAACCAGTTAGAGCCTATAGGATACATTTATTCTGGTAAACTATGGGTATGGGGTAACCAGTCTAACCCTTCCAGTTACATTAGTACACAGAACTGAGAAGCGTTAGAATTAAGGACATGTGGAGAAAAGTTTATTCTGTTTACCAAGCTTTTATAACAATATCAATTCTAGTTCAAGAAAAAACGGTTATTCTGAACCTGACGTATTTAAAGCCAAGATGAGATGTTCACATTCTAGTAGAGATTTGTCAGTTGGGAACCCAAGATAGAAGGACTTTTATCTGAAGCTCAATGAAAACCACTTTTCAGCAGAGCAGAAACCAGGAACTGAAATTATTTCCCCTGACCCACTAATATTTCAACCTCAAAAAACATGATGGGAGATGCATATATCCTTCCATACCTTGAACATTCCTTCCAATTTGTTAGTGAATTGACTACCACATTCAGTCTTCAACTGCACCATAACGAAAAGACTCATTATACAGCAATAAAAACCAAGTAAGAAAAAGCAGAAGTTACACATAAGAGACATCACCTTAGAGATCATGGACTTCTCTGCATCTATTGAAGCACTCTTTCCCAACAATAATCTCTTTGCTAGATCTTTCTTGTAGAATGCCTCAAATACATCCTTACCCTACATAAAGATGATATCATACACAAAGCAATATCTCACATATACAGGTTAATCCGGCTACAGATTCCTTAAGTTCTCTTCAATTACTGCTCATTGTATCCTCTTACCTGTATAAACCTGAACAGAACCAAGACTTTATCAAGTATACCCTCCAATTCCTCTTCCGAAGTACCCTTATTTCCAGCACGAAGCTTCTCGTCCAGAAATTTAGCAATCAGCTCGGCAGGCCGATTCTGTAAATAGCAAAATAATCCAATGAATTTTGTGAATTAATTGAGTAAATACTGCACTTTGGTGTACCAGAATGTATTTTGTATAACAGAAAATAACCGTCAACAGTAATCTGCCCCTTGACCACAAATAAAGAAAGGGTCCAGGAAGACTATTTAAGGGGGGGCGTATGAAAAGGATACAAACTGCCCAGAATGGCAGATCTATTAAAGTAGATCAGAGCATCTATCATGCTTACTATTTACCACAATCCCGTACAGTAGATCTTATCGAACAAGCAAGTTGAACAACCAACTTACTGGACTACGATATCACAAGCATGGCTTTAAAAATGTGACCTAGTTAAGATGCTCTGTCCAAATGGTAGGCATGTCCTATAGGCTGAAGCGAGAACTCTAGATAATTTGTAAGATGCAGGTTCAGGTATTTTCAAGCACATTAAGATTTGCCTGGTACAGCAGATAACATGCAGCAGCTCAGGAACTGGAACAGTGCACCTATTTGCATGGATTGATTGATTTGCAAAGATATGAATAAAGATGAAAAGACTTTTGTTTTTTCCTAAAGACCATCGACAGCTTTGGTTTCTTTGGACCCACTTGTAGTAGTGATATTATACAAGAACTCTATTCTAGCATGCATCATTTAACAAATGAAAAGAGATGAGAGAATGAACACGCAATCAATAGCAGTGTCCTAGACTCCTAGCACGTGTACTTCATTTAAACTGAGAGAAAGGAAAACCCAATGATACAAGCAACCTTTTTCACATGAGATAAATCATTCTCATAAATAATTCATTAGATCTATATTCTCTCCATTCCCATACAAACCCAGCCAAC